ACATTTGGTTTTGAAAATTTCTTAATGTCATATGGTATTTGGTAAAGTTTTACAAGTGAAAGCAGATCTTTGGTTGTTGGTTTCTGAAATAGAATTTATTTGCAGAGAGCAGAAAATACAAAGAATATCTGAAGCACTAAAACAAAGAAGGTAATCTAAACAAAAATATTAACAGACTGTATAGCCTTCTTGACCAAGTCTTTTCAGTGAATATACAATTTGTCTGTGCCTTGCTATAATGGAGTCCCCATACTCTCACACTTAAAATACTCTGACATTCAAATACTGTACACTCACCGGCCACTTTATTAGGTACACCTGTTCAATTGCTTGCTAACACAAATTGCTAATTTATTTCAGGTACTTATATAGCGCCGTCAATTTACATGTACATTTACATATATATTGTACATTCAACATCAGTCCCTAACCCGCTAATCAGCCAATCATATGGCAGCAACTCCGTTCATTTAGTTATGTAGAAGTGGTAAAGACGACTTGCTGAAGTTCAAACCTAGCATCAGAATGGGGGTAAAAAAGGGGATTTACCCCTTCCCTTATAGTAGATTGACGGCCGGACGGGACACTCTTCCTTTTGAGTGGGCGTCGTATGTTGTCCTGTCAGAAGGGGCCACTCACGGGACACAGCTGATGACATATTACTTTACTGGCCCGTTGCCGGTATCATATGACCGCTGTGACTAATCACAGCAGTTCACATGACATTTGTATACAATGGATGGCTTTCTTTCATGCCATCCATTGTATACAATTGTGTTAGCTGTGATTGGTCAAAGCAGTCACATGGTACAGACAGGGCCAATCACAACCCATCTGTATCATGTGATGAACTTTGCCCTCTGACAGCTAATCACAGCAAGAGACTGAATCAGTTTCATTTAGTAACAATGGTTGCTAATATCAATGAAATACATTGGTAGTATTCACAATCATAATGTGTAAAAAAAAACAACTGATCTCTTGCCCAGAGTAGTTTAAAGTTACTTTGGTAACATTGTATTGCTCTGGTCACTGTGTGTTGTAAAAATTTTAAAAAAATTAAAAAAAATTTTATTTAAAAGAAAAAGAAAAAATTGATTCCCTCAGAAGTCATAAGGACAAAACCGTTAGGGACGCAGCTAAACAGTGTGAAAGGAAGTAGCGTCAGTCTGTTGATCGACAGGGTGGTGAGATACCGCATGCATTACTGTGATGGCAGAGGTTTGACTTCTAACGAATCAGGATTGTGATAAGCGATCATTCTTTTTATGTTTGTGAGTGAGTTTTTAGTGGGATTGAACAAGCAATACATTTGTTAAATGGGATTATGCTATGTGTGTTGCTTTGTTCCCTTATCTTGAGCTTTTAGAGTTTTAAAGTATCGCTGGGCAGAAGGAAGATTTTGGATGGATCCACCTAAATGGATGATCGAATAAAAGTGCTGTTTGCCTATCAGTAATATGACCGGCATTTGCTTGCGGTGAGTGTTGTATCCTGATGGGATTTTGTTCACTGGGCACAAAGGGTGATTGATCTGCTACTCTGATTAAAGGTGGAGGAGTGAAGCTGTGAGCCATTTGACCCAGATGAAAACATCTCACTGTTTTAGATTTGTTGCACTTTTCATCACCGATTGGTGGAAGACTATGAACTTGTTAAAGTGTGGAGTGCTGCTGTAATTAATGGTGATTAAATACCACCAGAAGAAAGTTCTATTTGTGTGAAAAAATGCTAAAAAATGTTTGTGGGTACAGTGTTGCCTGTCCGCACAATTGTCATAAAAAAGTGCGACAACACTGGAAGCTAAAATTTGGCCTGTGCAGGAAGGGGGTAAAAGTACCTGGTATTAAATGGTTACGTGACTTTGAACGTGGCATGGTTGTTTGTTCCAGACGGTTTTCCAATGATTGATTAAGCACGAGATCCTGTGAAATGCGTTAACAAGTCCTGTATACATGTCCTGGTGTTTTGTGTGTCCTATGGATCAATAAATATTCACTATACTCATCAATCCTCCGGTGTGCGGTTAACCCTCCTTCCTATTGGTTCCAGCCGGGCTGGTCTGATTATTTTTAAAAACTGCTGATCTACTGGGATTTTCATGCACAACCATCTCTAGGGTTTACAGAGAGTGGTCCGAAAAAGAGAAAATATCGAGTCAGTTGTATGGATGAAAATGCCTTGTTGATGTCAGAGGTCAGAGGAGAATGGGCAGACTGGTTTGACATGATAGAAAGACAACAGTAATTCATGTAAATATAGACCTACAGTGGGCATCGAAAGTTTGGGCACCCCAGCTAAAAATTTGTATTAATGTGCATAAAGAAGCCAAGGAAAGATGGAAAAATCTCCTAAAGGCATCAAATTACAGATTAGACATTTTTATAATATGTCAACAAAAGTTAGATTTTATTTCCATCATTTACACTTTCAAATAACAGAAAACAAAAAAATGGCGTCTGCAAAAGTTTGGGCACCCTGCAGAATTTATAGCATGCACTGCCCCCTTTGCAAAGCTGAGACCTGCCAGTGTCATGGATTGTTCTCAATCATCGTCTGGGAAGACCAGGTGATGTCAATCTCAAAGGTTTTAAATGCCCAGACTCATCTGACCTTGCCCCAACAATCAGCACCATGGGTTCTTCTAAGCAGTTGTCTAGAAAACTGAAACTGAAAATAGTTGACGCTCACAAAGCTGGAGAAGGCTATAAGAAGATAGCAAAGCGTTTTCAGATGTCAATATCCTCTGTTCGGAATGTAATTAAGAAATGGCAGTCATCAGGAACAGTGGAAGTTAAAGCAAGATCTGGAAGACCAAGAAAAATATCAGACAGAACAGCTTGCAGGATTGTGAGAAAAACAATTCAAAACCCACGTTTGACTGCACGATCCCTCCAGAAAGATCTGGCAGACACTGGAGTTGTGGTACACTATTCCACTATAAAGAGATACTTGTACAAATATGGTCTTCATGGAAGAGTCATCAGAAGAAAACCACTTCTACGTCCTCACCACAAAAATCATCGTTTGAACTTTGCAAATGAACATATAGACAAGCTTAATGCATTTTGGAAACAAGTTCTGTGAACCGATGAGGTTAAAATTGAACTTTTTGGCAGGAATGAGCAAAGGTACGTTTGGAGAAGAAGGGGCACAGAATTTAATGAAAAGAACCTCTGTCCAATTGTTAAGCATGGAGTTCCAATCATGCTTTGGGGTTGTGTTGCAGCCAGTGGCACAGGGAACATCTCACGAGTAGAAGGAAAAATGGATTCAATAAAATTTCAGCAAATTTTGGATGGTAACTTGATGCCATCTGTGAAAAAGCTGAAGTTAAAGAGAGGATGGCTTCTACAAATGGATAATGATCCTAAACACACCTCGAAATCCACGGGGGGATTACATCAAGAGGCGTAAACTGAAGGTTTTGCCATGGCCTTCACAATCTCCTGACCTCAACATAATTGAAAATCTATGGATAGACCTTAAAAGAGCAGTGCGTGACAGATAGCCCAGAAATCTCAAAGAACTGGAAGACTTTTGTAAGGAAGAATGGGCAAAGATACCTCAAACAAGAATTGAAAGACTCTTGGCTGGCTACAAAAAGCGTTTACAAGCTGTGATACTTGCCAAAGGGGCCAGTACAAGTTATTAACTCTGCAGGGTGCCCAAACTTTTGCAGACGCCATTTTTTTGTTTTCTGTTATTTTGAAAGTGTAAATGATGGAAATAAAATCTAACTTTTGTTGACATATTATAAGAATGTCTAATCTGTAATTTGATGCCTTTTGGAGATTTTTTTCCATCTTTCCTTGGCTTCTTCTTTATGCACATTAATACAAATTTTTAGCTGGGGTGCCCAAACTTTCGATCCCCACTGTATATATAAAATCTGAGGAATGTTTCCAACACCTTGTTGAATCAATGCCACAAAGAATTTGGGCAGTTCTGAAGGCATAAGGGGATCCAACCCGGTACTAGCAAGGTGTACCTAATAAAGTGGCCGGTGAGTGTATATAAGATGTTTAATGACTGTGTATGTGGGTGGCCACCATCCCCTTTCACAGCCATACCCTGAGCTGTTCCTATCATTAGGCACTTGTGAGCCAGTGCCTAGCAGCAGGGTTAGCAGTGGCAGCACTAAGACGTGACATTTTCAAACTGTGATGGACATTTTCTGTTGGTTTTTTTTTTTGTGCTTTCTCTGGCTATTTAGTTCAGAGGTGAATTCAGAGAAGTTGGTACAGAGGCTGTTGAAGTCATAATGCTCTTTAGGGCTTGTTCACACTAATGTGATTTCAGATGCGACTTTGATCACACAGAATTCCACAACAATACAAATTACATTATTTTCTATGGTGCCCATTCACATCAGTGCAGTGTATTTTTGGAAAAGGTATACATGCTGCTTTGGGGTGGTTGCAGTATGATTTTGACCTCATAGACTTAATTGAAAACACACCAAAAAGCATGTAAGATGCATGAAAAACACATGTACATTTTGGCAGAGGTTTGTGTATAAAATCCAGTCTTCTACAAAAAAAACCCACACACGAAGCATCAAAAACACACTACAACATCACTGAAAATCAGGTCAGTCACAGCTAAAGTGGTGTTAACCTAACCTTCTAGTTCAAAAACATACAACCATCTCTTTCTTTTCTCTTGTTTAGTAGTCTGTACACCTCAATGGTGTTTCTGCATATTACTCAGACAACATGCATCCTCCAGTAGCACATGTGACACAACATAATAAATGGAGCTTGTACAAAAGGGCCTCACCGTTCAGGTGTACCTAAATACAGCCCTGGCTATATCCCCACTATATTTTGTTGCACACAGCTGTAAGCCTAGTAATCTAATTTTTCTTCTTTCTTCTTTGTGAACATGTTTTATCAGTATTTTTAGCCCGTCTCAGCTGGCTACTTTTTAAAAATTTAAATCCTAATAGAATCTGGTATGTTTGATTACAGTTTATTATTCTTTTGTCATTTCCAGAGTGATTGGCACATCTGAAACTCCTATCATCATAGTTGGCAACAAACGTGACCTGCAGCGAGGCCGTGTTATCCCACGATGGAACGTGTCGCATTTGGTCAAGAAGACTTGGAAATGTGGCTACATTGAATGCTCAGCCAAGTATAACTGGCACATATTACTACTTTTCAGTGAACTGCTTAAAAGTGTAGGCTGTGCTAGATGCAAGCATGTACATGCTGCAATACGCTTCCAAGGAGCACTGCGCCGCAACCGCTGTTCAATCATGTGACAGGACTGCATATTTTTTGGTCTCTGGAGTCACAGTATGAAGGGTTTTTTTTTTTAGTTTCAGTGACACTGAGTACTTGAACTTCTCTTGAACAATGGCACAGCAAGTGGACCTACACAAAAATTCAGTTTCACCAGTGGCAATTTATAGCTTTCCAAAATGTTCTATGTGATATCATAGCATAGCGTTTCCATGCTTCTTTTCAAGGGGATTTAGGGATATACTGATTCTGTGATGATATCAATATTTTTTTTAACCCCTTTAAATCTGAAAATTGTGTCTGTAATGACATAATAACCCCTTAGTGATTACGTTGACTTTAGATGACATGATGTATGCTTGAAATCCTTTATTGTGCTGTTATTTTAAAAATTGAGGACCCATTCTCGTTTGTTATGGATGATGTTAGTTACTGTGAACATTCTAAGATGGAATTATGGGTGATGAAGCCACATGTAGCTACAGTAATTATTAAACCTCAGGCCAGCAGACCCTCCTTTAGGGGTCACTATTATTATATTTCTGGATTGATTTTTGTGCAGCTCATTTAATCTTAATCTTCCATTTTTTTAACAGGGTATAGTACATTCTGTATATTTGAAGTGGTACTGTATATGGGAAAGTAAAGTTCCCTTAAAAATTAAAGCTGAACCTTAGGCAAACTGCTAACTTTACAGATGAAACTTATATAAGGGAGCTACTTTTTCTATCCAGCCAGTACTGAGATCTTCACGGACATTTCAGATAGCATAGCCAAGTTATTGATGTGATTTTTTCTATATTGCAGTTAGAGCATAACATCTAGGTCACTCCCCTGCACACTGCTTGTGATTGGACAGTAAAACATCTGATTCCTCTGCTCTGTGTATCCTTGTTCTCCTTGTCAGAACATGTGCACACAGCACAGCTGATTGGTCCATATTCCTGCTCACTCTCTCACCGTCTAAGCTGTACTGTACAGTGGATGGCAAGAAACTGATTACAACATACATCAGGTACCTGCACTAATTTTTTAACCATCATTTAAATAATATACAGTGCCTTGAAAAAGTATAAATACCCCTTGAAATTTTCCACATTTTGTCATGTTACAACAAAAAACGTGAATGTATTTTATTGGGATTTTATGTGATAGACCAACACAAAGTGGCACATAATTGTGAAGTGGAAGGGAAAAATAAAAAATGGTTTTCAGATTTTTTTTAAAAATATGTGAAAAATGTGGCGTGCATTTGTATTCAGCCCCCTTTACTCTGATACCCCTAACTAAACTCTAATGGAATCAATTGCCTTCAGAATTCACATAATTAGTAAATAGTCCACCTGTGTGTAATTTAATCTCAGTATAAATACAGCTGTTCTGTGAAGCCCTCAAAGGTTTGTTAGAGAACATTAGTGAACAATCAGCATCATGAAGGCCAAGGAACACACCAGACAGGTCAGGGATATAGTTGTGGAGAAGTTTAAAGCAGGGTTAGGTTATAGCAAAAAAAAAAATATCCCAAGCTTTGAACAACTCATGGAGCACTGTTCAATCATCTGAAAAGGGAAAGGATTTGGCACAACTGCAAAGGTACCAAGACATGGCCGTCCACCTAAACTGACAGGCCAAGCAAGGAGAGCATTAATCAGAGAAACAGCCAAGAAGCCCATGGTAACTGGAGGAGCTGCAGAGATCCACATCTCAGGTGGGAGAATCTGTCCACAGGACAACTATTAGTTGTGCACTCCACAAATTTCACCTTTATGGAAAAGTGGCAAGAAGAAAGCCATTGTTGGAAAAAAAAAAAAAGCCATAAGAAGTACGTTTGCTGTGTCCCCCACATGGCTTTTCACAAACTGCAAATATGTTGAAGAAGGTGCTCTGGTCAGAGGAGAGCAAAATTGAACTTTTTGGCCTAAAAGCAAAACGCTATGTGTGGTGGAAAACTAACATTGCACATAACCCTGAACAATGCATCCCCACTGTGAAACGTGGTGGCAGCATCATGTTGTGGGGATGCTTTTCTTCAGCAGAGACACAGAGGCTGGTCAGAGTTGATGGAAAGATGGATGGAGCCAAATACAGGGCAATCTTCGAAAAAAACCTGTTAGAGTCTGCAAAAGACAAACAACGACCCTAAAAAACAGCCAGATCTACAATGGAATGGTTCAGATCAAAGTATATTCCTGTGTTAGAATGTCGCAGTCAAAGTCCGGACCTAAATCCAGTTGAGAATCTGTGGCAAGACTTGAAAATTGCTGTGCACAGACGCTCTCCAGCCAATCTGACAGAGCTTGAGCTATTTTGCAAAGAAGGATGGCCAAAAATGTCACTCTTTAGATGTGCAAAGCTGGTAGAGACATACTCAAAAAGACTTGTAGCGAAAGGTGGATCTACAAAGTTTGTCTCGGAGGCTGAATACAAATGCACGCCACACTTTTCAGAAATGTATTTGCAAATGTTGAAAACCATTTATCAATTTCCTTCCACTTCACAATTTTTTTTCCACTTTGAGTTGGTCTATCACTTAAAATCTGAATAAAATACATTTATGTTTTTGGTTGTAACATGACAAAATGTGGAATATTTCAAGGGGTATGAATACTTTTTCAAGGCACTGTTTATGGTTTTATGCATACATAACCACATTAGTGTTATTTTATATGTGCCCAGAGTTCAGCTATAACATTATATAACAAACGTTTGCAGTTTTTATCAGTTATTTTGGGTTTAATGGAGAATTCTAGGCAAAACAGTCATATGTTTGGGAGAAAACCACAGTATATGTTTGGGAGAAAATGTGTAACCCCAGCTAAACCTATGTTTTTTGTTTTTTTTTTTTTCAGTGGAAGGGTCAGAACGTCATCAGGTTTTAAATCTCCAAGTCTCCATTAGAGAGATTTCCCTTTGTTTTACTGTTCTAGTTACCTCGCAAGGCCAGGATGGAATGGAGAGGAGCACACTTAGCAATAAAAACCTTAAAGAGGTTTTAACCCTTCCCTTCTTTGTTGAACAGTGTTTTGTTACTGACCATATCCCCACTCAAGAGATTTCCAGTCTCTGCGACTACTGTCACTGGGGCAGGAAATGGGTACTCCTCCATAGTGGGAATACAGGCAGCAGTTAAGGCTTTCACATTTCATAGTCGGAGCACTGCATATTGAGAGCCCATGCCTTAGTGAGGGACCAGGTGTTCATCTTTCAGAAAAGTAAAATATAATGTTATACTATGAATGCAGAGAGCTCTGTTCCATGATCTCCAACATAGAGAGAGAACAATAAATTACAGGAGTAAGGATGAGTGAATCTTTGCCCAGGTTTGGTTTTTCCGGGGGGTTTGTCAAATCCAGCATGAATTCTGTGTAACCCAAACTTGACTTCAAACTCTATTGAAGCCTGTTACTACTGCCGTTGGCAAAAAGTTTTCAGAATGACACAAATATTAATTTTCACAAAGTCCGCTGCTCTAGTGTTGTTAGATCTTTTTTTATCAGATGTTACTATGGTATACCGAAGTATAATTATAAGCATTCATAAGTATCAAAGGCTTTTATTGACAATGAAATTAAGTTTATGCAAAAGGTCAGTATTTGCAGTGTTGACCCTTCTTTTTCAAGACCTATGTAATTCGTCCAGGCATGCTGTCAATCAACTTCTGGGCCACATCCTGACTGATGTAATGCTTTCATAATCAATGCTTGGACTTTGCCAGAATTTGTGGGTTGTTCACCTGCCTCTTGAGGTTTGACCACAAGTTCTCCAATGGGGATTAAGGTCTGAGGAGTTTCCTGGCCATGGACCCAAAATGTCAATGTTTTGTTCCCCAAGCCACTTAGTTATTTTTTGCCTTATGGCAAGGTGATGTATCATGCTGGAAAAGGCATTGTTCATCACCAAACTGTTCTTGGATGGTTGGGAGAAGTTGCTTCTGGAGGATGTTTTTTGTCATTCTCAAAACTTGTGGCCACGGCTGTAAGTACTGCCTCTTTTACAGGGCTAATTGGCAAACTACTATCAAAAAAGGTATAGGAAGCCAGGCACCTACATGATGTACAAGTACCAATGCAAAAAAAAAAAAAACAGCTGGGAAAAGTTCTTTTCACTCAACACCAGGAGCAACACTGAAAATGCACAAATTCTTTAATGTGTGGGGATGCCTTAAAGCTGTATGTGGCGTTGATAAACCGTACACTTTTCAGACAGTCTCAGCAAGTGTACACAAGCAGTGCATATTTGGCTGCAGAATTGATTTTTTTTGTCTTTTACAATTATGTTGGCTTACATACAGCAGCCACACCCCTGAATGATTAATTTTAATTTGTATGTAGCAAAAAATGTAAAAAAAAAAAAAAAACAGACAAAAAAAAAAAACCCACCATGAGGTTTACTTTAATATTCTAAACAGACCCTCTTTCAGACATTCAGCCAGAGTGGCCAGGAAAGGAAGGGCAGTGAGACTGCCTGTTCCCAAATGAGGCCACATGCCTTTCAATATGGGGAGGTAATTTGCAAGGGGGGACCGGCAAAACCTGGTCTGGTACAGAAGATGGGTGTATGCTCTAAACTCACTTTTCTGACCACCCAGGCTGCATGGCTGGAAGGGGTCTGGTTCGAATATGAAAAACCCCTGTTATTTGTTTCATTATTGTTTTGTTGTAATACAGTTGTGTCCAAAAATTATTCAACCCCCAATGCTGTAAAGGGGTTTTAGGGACTATAGTGTACATTTGGAATTGTATTCAGAATCAAAATCCTACAAGGACGTTGTAACTACCCAAATGCAACTAAAATGACATCAATTGTTTATGTAATACAGTAGTAAATGGTTCTTATGTGGTTTCTTTCATTGCCACAATTATTCAACCCCTTAAAGACTACCACTCTGAAGGACAGAGGTTCATACAGGGTCTTTCCATCAGGTATTGAAAACACCTGTGGATGTCACCGAGCAGCAATCAAGCATAATATAAGCACCAATTAGGCAGTTTTAAAATGACTGTGATACTCAGCTCCTTCT